TGGTCTCCAGCCCCATTAAATGGTAAGAAGATAGGCCCACCTTGATGGTTTTTTACTCGAACCCCAGTGATATTCCTCCCTCACCTCGGGAGCCACCAGAAGTGATGGAACAGGACGCGGCCGCAGCTACGGTAGTCCACTTTGGCCCGCCACCCGAGAAGATTTTGAAGAGGTACCCTCAACCGACACAACCTGCTCCCGTCCCAGATCTCAGCCGTTTAGAGGGAATCATAGCGTCACTCTCTAACGCTAGCTCTGGAGCCAATCCAATACCTTTTACCACACCCACGGCAGCACCGCAGGAAACGTATGCGCCGCCTCCTCCTACCGGCCCTACACCCGATCTGGCGGCTCTTCTTGCGTCCCTGGGCCAGGCAACGTCTACACCAACGCCAGTGCAAGCTCCAGTGCAGCAACAGACTGCTCCACCTCCGTTCGATTACGCCAGCTTGGTGGCCACTATGCAAGCACAAGCAGCCAATGGCATGTCGCTTCCCCCACCACCGCCAGGTCCAATGCCCTTTGCCTTTCCTTTTGGCGTTCAGCATGGCATGGCAGATGCTTCGACCTACCAAGCAGCGATGCAGGCTCAGTACGGTCAGCAAGATCAGTATGGCCAACAAGACCAATACGGCCAGCAAGACCAGTACAGTCAGCAAGCCAACGGCGGGACCAAGCGAGCACGCGACGATGGAACGAACAGCTCCAATCAAGCTCAAGGCAAACGACCCAAGAACCGTGGCGAGCGGCCACACAAAGTACTTGCGTGCAAGTTCTACCAGAAAGGCACCTGTAATAAGGGCGACAATTGTACTTACATCCACGACAACAACGCGTAAATGCGGGCAAGAACTAACTGTGGGGCTGTTTCTCGACTTTGGTACAAACCATGACGATGTTTTCTTGCTGTACATTAGCCGGCTATGAGACGGCGCTTTACCTTGACCGAGGGAGTGGTGGTATGCAAGCTACCACTAGAGTACCCTTTTTCTTTTTGTTCTTTCTTTCCTTGTCTTGACTACTCGTTTCCATGGAGATTCGCATGTATGAGTGGCGGAGTGGCTTGGTCCCAGGGACTATTCTCTTCTGCAGCATTTACGAGGGGCATCTTGTCAGGCGTTTTTCTAGTCCATCTCAGCGAGAGGATGCAAGCATTAGCATGGCGCATGGGGGGGGCTGTGTGGGTGTGGATGACAGGAGGAGTCGATGGAGAGGAACAAGCAAACGTGTGGATGATTTGTGGTGGTACCAAGTCCAACGTAGACGTTTTTTTTTCTTGACGAGAAACTACATACCTGCTAGTCAATTGTAATCATATGTTCTATTCAAGTGCTGGCCTGCCATCATGTGATCAAGTGTCTGTTTTCTAAGAGGGGATTATTGGATAGGATGTTGGTGGTGTGTGAACATGTATGTTTACTTGTCGGGTGTGGTGGTTCTGGTTCATTCTTTCTGCAGCCCAGCACCTACAGTATCAACATTGCTTCGATATAAACATATAGATAGATAGATAGATAGATATAAATGTCGGTGTGTGTGTGTGTCAACAGGATACACTTCCAAGGTGACTGACTGACTGACTTGGTGTTGCTGCTGTTGCTCTTGCATGAACCAACCAGGACTCGCAACAGGCTTTCCCGCATGCATGCCATCGGCAAATACCGTCATATTTTCTCAGCCATCGGATCACGTAACTTCACTACACCAGTCGATGATATAGCTCAAGGTAGCAAAAGAACCCAAAAGCCAGTCCCGCACCCGACCTCTCCGCCTGTCCCATCTCGACTGCAACGCCTGTAGCCTTGCACTCTGCATACCCGCCCTCGCTCTCCACGCATCCATTGCCGGCCCTCTCTCTCCTCCCCGCCGTCTGCCCTCCCTCCATCACCCCCGCCGCCTTCGTTCTGCCGCCGCCGCCGCCGCCGCCGCCGAGCCCCAGCATCGCCTCGTCGACCAGCACTGCCCATCCTCAAAGACTATCAGACTACAGAGCCAACAACCCCACGCCCCAAACAACCATCGCACCCTCACCCGCCCGACCGTCCGCCCCACCACAACCGACCGCCTGCCCGTGCCATCATGGCCGCCGTACGCAAGAGGAGCACCAACATTGCGCGCCGCCGGCGGACCGATGACGAGGACGAGAGCCAGTCGGTGGCTACGCTGGCTGACGACTCGCAGAGCGATGCGTCGGTGCTGAGTGACGTCGACGAGGATGCCGATGCGGACAACAGCGACCTCAGCGAGGTGGACAGCGCCCCTTCGCTCACCCACGCCCACGCCCATGGCAAGCCCACACGCACCCCCAACGGCGCCCATGATGCAAAGTCACAACCCGGTGCGGGCACGCGGCAGCCCTCGCCGCCCATTGCCCGCTCCGAGCCCGCCTTCGCCGCACTCAAGGAGACGCAAATCATGATGAAGGGCCTGGCCATGACGGACGACGAGGCCCAGCAGGCTGAGCAGGTCGACTTTGATACCGGCCATGGCGCGCATGACGAGCCGGCCCCCGCTGTCAGTGCGCCCCCATCACGCACAGAGACACTGGCCGAGCGCAGGCGGCGGGAGCACGACGAGTACAAGAAGAAACGCGACTCGGACCCCGCCTTCATTCCCAATCGCGGCGCCTTCTTCATGCACGACCACCGCCATGCCCCGGGCCCGCATGGCTTCAAGCAGATGGGTGGACGCGGACGGGGGCGGGGTGCTCCCACCATCGGGGGACCCTACTCGCCAGCAAAGTAAGTCAGACCGGTCGACTAGCTATTCTGATATCCGCACATGTCCAACCTTGAACTGACGCCCACTCGCCAGCATGCGGCCGCAGAACAATGAAGCTACCGATTCGCCGTGGCAGCACGACCTGCATGAGACGGTCAACCTCCCAGCCTCCCAGCATCCACCAGCTCCCGTCTCGAGCAGCCGTGGACAACAAGCTCCCAACACACACCCAGACTCGTCGAGAGGACCGCCAGCCCCCCCTTCCAAACCTCCCCAGACGCGCAACTTCTCCACCACAGTCCATACCCACAATGCCCTGGTACGCGTATACCTGCCGGACATGAAGGCCCCTATCCTATTCCAGAACGTGCCCATCAAGCAACACACTCGTCTGCCAAACCACCGACCCCCTCTGCGTCGCGACAAACCTGTCCGCATCTCACTTCCCCCTGCACCTCCGCGATACATCTTCCCCACCGTCGAACGATCCTTCATCTTCATCCCACGGGCACTGCGACCCAATCAGCAAGGCTTTGGCCGCGGTCGAGGCCGGTTTGGCTCATTTGGGGCTGGTCAGGGAGGCCTTTCGAGTCGCCGGACGAGCATGTACGGGGGCAGTGCCTATTCGCCCAGCGTGGCCATGAGCCGACGTTCGTCCATGGCACGTGAGATGGGACGCGAGAATCTCGTGTCTCCAGCAGGTAGTATCATGTCACGGAACGGTGGTTATGTTGATTCGAGTCGGCCTGTGGTGCGGTTGCCGCCTGGCGGTCCTCGTATGCCTACTGGGCCGTCCATGGTCTCCCCTACCCATGGTCTGCCAAACTATCCTCTCCCCCAGAAGCCCACCTTCCGCGAGAATTGGCAAGGACAGTTGCCCATGCATCAGCCACGTCCGCAAAAGACTGTGTCTGTTGCTGGCATCGAATCGCCAGCATCCATGAACTTCAACCCGCCACAGCAACAAGAACAGCAACCATTTCACCAGCAAGTCCCCGCACACATCAACGGCGCTGCCTCGTCGACAGACCAACAACCCTACTACCAGCATGGACGCCAGCACTCGTACCCCAGCCAAGTTTCCACTGGCACGCCTCTGTCCAACATCCCCGAGCGTGCCATCCACGCCCCTGCCTTTCAACCTTATGCTCAACCTGGCTTCCCACCTCAGGCGTTTGTCCCACAAGGCTACTACTACCCGCCTGCCGGTGCACAGCCACCGTACATGGCTCCTGCAGGCATGGTGCCCATGTTTGTCCCCGGCGCACAACAACCGGGCTACGTGATGCCCGTGACGGCGCCTCCTGTGGCAGCTCCCCCCGTTGCTCCGGCCGGCCCACCCAACATGGTCGCGTACGAGTCGAATGGCATGACCTACTACGTCGATTCCGCATCTTTGTATCCTCCTGCCCCGCCCCCGCCAGCCGAGGGCTATCCCGCACCCAGCTTTGCGGTCCCAGGCATGGGAGGCATGATGACCCCAGGCCCAGACGGGGCGTATTACTATCCACAAGGCATTCAGGGCGCGTACTATCAGCCACAGTAGTCCTCATTTTATCCTCTTGAGACTCCCTCAACCCTCCGCCCCCCTTTCTCCCCCTCTCTTCTCTGCACGCAGCATCGATCAATGGACCTTGCGTTGTTGTTTTTCTTTCGCGCAAGCTCACCGCCCACAAACGTACCTTTGTCCCCCAAAATCCGAGAGCGGGTGTTTTAGGCGCTGGGAGACTGGATTCTTCTTTCTTTTCTCTTCCTTCTTTCTTACCTGCCTTCTTTCTTCCCTTCTTCCCTTCTCTCTTCTTGCGGGTTTTGATGCTGAGGGATACGAAAATGGCAGATACACGTGGTTCTTGGATTAGGGCATTTTTCTCAGAATTATAAAAAACACACTTGGCGATGGTGATTGGTAGCGTGGGGGAACCTTGGATTCTCTTTGTTGGAAGTTTTTTGGGGTGGGCTTGGAGG